TCTCTCTCTCTCTCTCTCTCTCTCTCTCTCTCTCTCTCTCTCTCTCTCTCTCTCCCTCCCTCCCTCCAAAATTCTGGTCATGTTGGAGATATGAGATCCACGTATCTCTCATACACAGAGAAGTCTGATGTGATCAAAGCAAAAGAACCTACTTAAGAATTTCCAATAATTTGAATTAACAGGTCAGTTCAAAGTCTCTTAAATTTGTCGGTCCCTAATGTTTGGCCAATGAAATAGCCCCACCATCACTATGTTTTTCCCACTTAGGGAGGATTCAGTAGTTACAAACTGACTAACAAGACAATCGCCAGAAAGAACAAACTGAAGAAAGAGCCAGAATCAATGAGAAGCTGATTGGACAGAGCTCCTTCCACATTCTTGAGACGGATTGACAGGGGAGCATTCACCACAGTTCTGACAATCTGCCCTTCTCTCTTTCACAGAAAGACTAAGTCTTACATCCCAGTATGCAAGTGTTATCTCTGTTCCTTTTTTCTCATACCATAGGGATCACCAGCTTAATGTATCCTCCTTTGTTCTAATTACAAGTCATCCCACCCAAATACTCTTTCATGCGTGAAAATAACAGGATCTTGGCTTTAAGGTGACCCTGCTACTCCACCCCCCCTCCTTGTCCCTTCTCAGTAAAAAGCAATACTATGAACTGTTGTTTCCAGTTCTGGCTATGGGAAAGAAATGGAGCCTCAGAACCCTACTTCCTAGTGACAGATTCTGTTTCTAAGATCCAAGGAAGTTGGCCTCCCCCACACATGCCTTAACACCTGGTTTGCTATATAAATGAACCAGACTCACTCTCCCTGAAGAATCAACAGCAGTCTTCTGATGTTATAACCCATGTAATGGGCATTATATATCACCCTCAATGAATGAAGCCTTCCTCTTTCTACTGCTTCCCAAAATGATCCATCAGTGTCAGAAGACTTACTGAGCTTGTTACAGACTCTCTCTCATGTTGGGAAGCTGAGTTGCTCGTCAGTATTTGTTGTTGTTATTGCAAGGCACTCCCCCTCCCCATCAATGCAATCATTCCTTTGCTACTCCTAATGCATGTCTGGACAGTTGATATCTAGAGGAATAACAAGCTAACAAAGTTCTTTCCAAAGTTACCCTTCAACAAAATTGTAGTCACTGCATGTCACCCAGCCTACTATTGCCACCAGCACCGAGGGCCCTGAGGGTAAGACAATTTTATCTTCACTGAATAATTCACAATAAATCCACAATTCTGCCCAATCCCCCAACCACCCCGTCACCAATTAACATACCCCTTCAGATCAACTTACTCATCTAATAATACATCTCTCCATTCTCCCCTTCCCACCCCAAAGGAGACCATCCTTTGATTCCCCAGTATCCGTAGCTAGAATATAACACTCACATCTCGGAATCTGTTCCAGTACTTGTCCCTGTCGTATTGGGAGACGGTGCTCAGCCATTTGTCACTGTCCAAGAAATTGCCATTGTTGTGGCCGGTGAGCACCTCCGCGCGTCGGCTGTCCACTTGTAGGAAACACCACGCCAGGATCACCATGATGCCAGGCATCTGCAGAGCAAAGGGGGTTACAGGACAGATCAGGGTGCCTTGAGAGATGGGGCACAAGATCCGCATGCCTGCCCCTGACAGTTTATCAGTGTGAAGTGGGGGGGGGGATTTTAGGGGTGTCATGGGGCAGATGCTTTATTAAAAGGTACAGACCTTGTTTTGTTATCTGCATGTTTGCGTGTTTGGGGATGCCCCATCACAGACCTTGACCTAGGCTGCCGTATTGGAAGAGAGGTTACACAGAAGTGTGGATTGGGAAAACAGAGTCTCCTGTAAGGTAGCAGTCAGATTGCACTGCAGAGTACACTGGAGTTTGGCCGAGGGTGGGGGGGGGGTGTCTCTACCATCCTCTGCGCTTCTATCAGCTCCCACACTTAGCAGCAGGAGCGCAGCTAGAAAGGTAGAGCCTCCTTGCAGCAGCTTTCCTCATCCGCCCCAGGTGATGTTTGCCTAGTAGTACAACCTGCCCCCTCTCCCAGGACGCTCCTCTCCACCTTCCCTACCTCCAGCCAGAAGGAAGTTGGGGAGCCCAGAAAGAAACCAAGTAAGCCAAGATTGCATTATCTGGCGTCTCCAGGGAGCGAAGCTAGGGTGCAAGAACTAAGGGGCACGTACCTTGGGGGGCAGCCCGTGGTGGGGCGGGAGTCCTTGCTCCTTGACTGCACCTGCTCCGGAGACTATGGCTTCAGCAGCTACGGCTCCAGCCCCAGGTCCGGCTCTGGCTCTGGCTCTTGGGTTAACGATCTCTCGTTCTCTAGCTGGTTCGCCCGCTCTTTCCTTCCCTGCCTGATCACTGCGCTCCCTCCCTCTGCTTTGTGAGGCCAGCCCGGGTCTGGTACCAGTCTCCTCAGAGCTGCGGAGACAACGAGAGGCGACTTCTGCTGCCCCCTGGCGGGCGCGCTGCCGAACAACCCTGTTGGCCTTGGCTCCCTGCTCCCGATTCCCCCAGCTCCTCTCTCCAGCTCAAGGACTCAGATCCAGCGCCGCCAGCGCCACAGCCACCACAGGCTCGCGAAGCCTGCCAGCTTACAAAGGGGCTGGAGAGGTGGCACTGCACATGCTCAGACGGGCCGCTCAGATCTGGGGCTCAAGAGACAAGCAGTGCTTAGAGGGAAGAAGAGGGTTGTTGGGAGACGGGGAGGAAAAGGGAAGAGAGGAGAGAAAAAACACAAGGGAAAATAGGGATGGAAAAGGGTAGATAGAGGTGGTATAGTTAGCCTGCTGGGGCCAGGAAAAGTGGATCTCTCGCCCCCAAACATCCTAATCTGCCTCATTCTGCAGACGGCCTAGTCCTGGATAAAGTGACACCTGTCACTTGATCTATGAGTAGAAAACCTGGGTTCCAGACCCAATTGTGCTTTCTAGTCAAGAGACTTTTGACCTGTCAGCATTTCAGAGCCTCAGTTTCTTGACCAGGAAAATGGAAGTAAGAAAATTTACACTGCCTTCCTCAGATTTGCTTCCCCAAGGAATTGAGATAATGGATGCATAATAAACCTAAACATATACATATAAATGTGAGCTATTACTGGGACAACAAACATAGAGTGTCTCCTTTAATGGACACTAGGGAGCTTTTCTGTAGTTGTTTCTGGGAGAATGGTGATGATGAATAAGGGAGCTTGTGTGAACATTTTGTCACTGATTCTGGTTGGCTAAGCACATGGTTGGTAAGAGCCTTTTTTTCCATTTGCTGTGTAAATAGAATTATAGATATCTTCAAAAAGGCCTGATTCGGTTTCCACAGTCTCTCAGCTCCATTCTCATCTTGGAAAGCTCATTGTGTCCTGTGAGAGACTGTTGTTAAGGGGGAAACTCTCAGAGCCTTTTTTCTTTGGGGCTATATAGCCCCCCAAAAAATTGGGCCTCCCTGGCTTTTTTATTTTCATTCTTTTGGTCTCCCAACCACAACAGAGCAAACCCTAGGGATCTGGGAGGTAGAATCCAGGCCAGGTATTACAGCCAAATGTCCCAAGAAACAAAGTCACATTTGGGAGTGACCTTCCAAACACCAGCCTAGCAATAGCTGAAACATCCAGCAGTGATTTTGGTTTTGGTTATGAACATGGTGGGATCATTGCTATGTAGGAATTGAGCTAAATTATGAACCTAATCCTCCCCCTCTCCAGATTTAAGTAGTAAAAGGAGGATTATGCCTCAAGGCATCAGGATAAATGCTTATACATTTGTTCTTGCTAAATCTTTTAAGAAAATATCCCTCTGTAAAAACTAATCAGTGTTAAGTTGTTCAATGGAACTGGAATGCTAGTCACTGGCCCCTAAAAATGGTGGGACACAGCTGGTGGGGCTCCTACCAATGGCAGTAGAGGAAACCCTTTAGGGTAACCTGAAGTCCTGAAGGGAAATATAACCTGTATAGCCCTGGAAGAGAGGATCAGAGACTACATGTTTCAGCATGCATGTGACTTTTGCCAATGGCACCTTTTATACTTCCACAGTCCTACCAAAAGGTTTTATTTGCAGGTAAATAGCACTTTCATTTCTGAGAGATCCCTTCCCAGCTAAGTAAGTTGGATTCTTGCCTATAATCCCTCCCCTCACCATCCATGAAGGCCACAGAGAACCAGAAACTCACACAGAGTATTAGAGTCCTCTGGTCCCACCTCTTCATTTTCAAACAAGAATACTGAGGTTCAGGAAATGACTGGTTCAAGGTCACGTAATGAGCTAAGACTTGATGCTTCTGTGTTAGAAACTAAAGACCAGTGCTCTTTTGGGAAAGCCTTGCTTGTGGTATACCCATCTAGGGCACGTAAAGCATCCTCCCTTGTGGGAGTAATAGCAAGGATAATCCAAAACACACATGCATATATTTACATATATTTGTATATGTGTGTATGTGTAATGTGTATCTCTGTAATTGTATTACATATATGTTATATGCATCTATATTTATGTCTGATATACACCTCATAATTATACATATACACAGCTGGCATGTCAATACCATACACACATACATACATACATACATATATAGCTGGGCCAAGTGTTGGTGAGAGGGAGAGCAAATTCTCCTTCCTAATTATGTCTTTCTTAGCTTCTGCTAAAATGGACTTACTTTCCTTGAGCAGACTCTGGGAGAAGGGCATCATGGAGCTGGGAAAGCCAGGCTGGAATGAAATGTTGGCTTTGCATAATCCCCAAAGGGAATTTTTAGAGTTGGCTACATTTTCCTATAAAGGGATCTGCATTTCCATTCTGGGGTTAGGCATATGCCCAGCTGTTTAAACATGCTCATAATCCCAACACCCACTTAAGGATGCCCTTTCCCTTTAAGACATATATTTTTTAATTGTTCCCATGAGCTCTGCTCACATTCTCTACAAATTAAATGTGTACAAATTAAATGTGTACAAATGCACACATGCGTCAGGGGATAGATGCATATCTTTAAGCACACCTCTGTGGGATCCCACCACAGAATCCTAAATATCAGAACTTGAAAAATCCTTAGACAATGACAAGTCCAATGTTACAATGAATCAATAAGTGTTAAGTGTTTACCAGACATTGAGCTAGAGAGCTGAGTTTACAAAGAAAGGCAAAAACAATCTGTCTTCAAGGAGCTCACATTCTAATGATGGAGACAACATGGAAAGGAACCCATAGAAGGAACCCTACTTACCCAGGATCACACAGCAGATCAGTGGCCTAGCTGGGCTTGGGTTAACTCTTTATCTGCCAGTTGAGCCAAAATCAGGCTCTGAGGTTCTCCTGTGCCAAATGAGAAGTCTGGGGGTTTCTGTTCTCAGGCCTTGGGGCTATGGTTATCCAGGAGCACAGAGTAGAACTTGGGCCAGGAAAAGGAGAGAGGAAGAAAAGGCACAACAGGCTTAGAATTAAGAGGAGAATCTAATCCTGTACTTACTTTTCCTTGCTTAGGGACAACAGTGACTACCAAGCCTTGTAAGAATCTTAAAACAAGAAGAAAGATTGAAGGAATAATAAGGCGGGGGACTGGACCTGTGATTTCATTGATAAACTGTGGAACTGAAGGGGAATGGGAGGAGGGAGAGGATTCCCTTTATGAATGCAAGTGAGCACCTTCTCTGTAACTTATAGTCTTAGAGAGTCACCTAGAACACGGAAGGTTAAATGACTCGTTCTGGGTTTCACTGCCAATGTGTGTCAGTGTCTGGAACTTGAACCCAAATCTTCCTGGCTTCATGGCCACCAACAGCAGTGCTATCACTACCATTTAAGTCATGCTTTAAGCTTTGTGAAATATTTATCTCATTTGGTCACCTAGTCCTGGCCCCTGTTTCTTAGACAGGTTCACACCCAAACCATGGTGCAGAGAAATAAAGAAAAAATCCTTTCACAGTTTCTCATTTACTTCCTAGCATACTCCTGGTATCCAGAGAAAGTGAGGAAGATCTCCAGCACACTGAGTGGAGTCCCTTTGGTGAATTGATGAAAGAGTATGGACAAGAGTTGCACAGAATGGACACTATTATATTGATCATATCTCATATATATATATATATCATATATCTATGACCTCCTGCTTTCTAATCTCACCTAACTCTCTCTTACCAGAGTGTTCCTTGGCTGACTATATTTGTCCCCATTTTCAGTGGCAGCCCACTTACCCTTTCTCCAAGCTCCCCTTTGTAGACTAGGCTACAACCAAAAAGTATATATTTCTTTCTACAAATCCTACCCTGGAAAGGGGACCCTGGAGGTGTTTCCAAAGTAGGGTGGGCATCTTTTGCTGCACTTGACTAAGGCTCAAACCTAAGCTACTGTGCTCTCCTTCCCTCTCCCTAGCCCCCAATTCTGTTTCTCTCCTTCTCGAGACCCTGACTCTCAGGAAAAGGACATAGGAAGACGGATGTTGGACACATGCCATCAAGCCAGCCAGCACTGGGGGATAGGTGAGGGGGGGGAAGGAAAAGGAAGATGCCAGGTTAAGCCTATGTGAAGTTTATAGGAGCTAAAATCAATAGTCTGCCTCAAGGCTACATTTCTGAATTTCTTTGGTTACTACAAAGCTATAATAATTCCTCATTTCAACATAGTTCCTATTTCTAAAGAGCCCCACATGTTTTATTTTCCAGTCTAATGAATGCCTATAACATGCCTCCTGGAAAATACAAAGCAATTACTATGATCTCCATTTACAGTTGAAGAGAGAAAGCACAGAAAGGTTTAGTCGCTTTCTGAAGACCACACAGCAAGAAAGGCAGAGATAAGAATGAAACCCAGTTCTCTACCTCTCATCCTAGTGGTCCTGAAACAAAGCTAGTGCTTCTGTATAATCTTTCTTGGAATCAAGTGGTTGGACTTTATGACCTGCTGTGGTGAGTCTGATTTGCTGATATGGGAGTGTGATAGAGAAAAGAAAATTAGGACAAAATACATGTCATACTGGCAAATGAGTTCTTTTTGAGTATTTTGTTCTGATTGCTTTGAGCCTAAAATAAAGCACAGCCTTCTGAACGAGATCTACAGCCACTCAATTAGTTTGGCCTAACTATCCACATAGGAAAAGCTAAGTGGATGAAGAATACTCACTATTCAAACTATGATATACAGTTGGATAGGCAATTTACAGAGCTTCTAACTCACCCATTTATGTGTGTGTGTGTGTGTGTATGTGTGTGTGTATATAAATTGTACCTCTAACTACATATCATAGTTTGAACAGTAGACATTCTTCATCCGCTAGGATTCACATATATATATATATATATATGCATGTATATATATACATGCACACACACACACACATATATATATATATATATGTATATGTAAAATTTGAGGAGAC